AGGAGGAGGCATTTATTGAGGCCTCATTTATAACAGCAAAACAAAAACTGCCTAAATACTCAATGAAGCAGGAAGCGCTAAGTAAATTATGATTCCCGTATGGTAAGATCATACATACAAAAGTTAAGAAAATCATATTTATTGGGTTTTTTTTTTTTTTTTTGAGACAGGGTCTCACTCTGTCGCCCAGGCTGGAGTGCAGTGGTGTGATCACAGCTCATGGCAGCCTTATCCTCCTAGCGCCACCACACCCAGCTAATTTTTCTATTTTTAGTAGAGACGGGGTTTCACCATGTTGGCCAGGCGGCTCATGAACTCCTGGCCTCAAGTAATTCGTCCGCCTCGGCCTCCCAAAGTGCTGGCATTACAGTCGTGAGCCACCGCGCCCGGCCAGGACTCCACTCCTTACCTTTAAGTTATGTATGTAAGGGATCCAGAATTTCTCCATCAGCTCATTCCGGTATTTCTTGGTGAAGTAGCCCACGTAGGACACGAAGGCAGAGATGAGCAGGACGTCCCCACACAGCGTGACCCCCTGGCTCCTGAAGTTCTCCACGGACTCAGCCCAGCGGACGTTTTCCGATGCTAATCCCCCCACCAGCCTGAAGCGGAACGAGAGAGAATAAAACATCTGCATCGGTGAAAGGACTGGACCAGACAAGCCTCCACCTCTGCACCTCTGTGAATCTTCAGAGTTTCCCGTTGGCACCTGGCTCAGTGGCTCAACGATGAAAATGCTTTTGGGGAGTTTTTGGGAGGAAATGCTTTAGAGAAGCCCAAATCGTGCTTCTTGGCTGGGCGCGGTGGCTCACGCCTGTAATCGCAGCACTTTGGGAGGATGAGGCAGGTGGATCACCTGAGGTCAGGAATTCGAGACCACTCCGGCCAACATGGTGAAACCCCGTCTCTACTAAAAATATAAAAATTAGCTGGGCGTGGTGGCGTGCATCTGTGGTCCCAGCTACTCAGGAGACTGAGGCACAAGAATTACCTGGGAGATGGAGGTTGCAGTGAGCCAAGATCATGCCACGCACTGCAGCCTGGGTGACGGAGTGAGACTCTGTCTCCAAAAAAAATTAAAAAAAAAAAAAAAAAAAAAAAGCAGGGGGTCAAGGCTCAGAATGAAAACAAGCACAGGAAATACCTCATTGATAATTTTTATATTAGTTACCTGTTGAAATAATATCTTGGATATTTGGGGTTAAATAAAATTATAACTATTTCTTTGTACTTAAAAATGTTTTTTTGTAGAGATGGGGTGTCACTATGTTGCTCAGGCTGGTTTCAAACTTTCAAACTCCCACCTCAGCCCTCCAAGTGCTGGGACTACAGGTGTGCACCGCCATGCCTTTTTTTTTTTTTTTTAAGACAGAGTTTCACTCCTGTTGCCCAGGCTGGAGTACAATGGCACAATCTTGGCTCACTGCAACCTCCACCTCCTGGGTTCAAGTGATTCTCTTGCCTCAGCCTCCCAAATAGCTGGGATAACAGGCGCCCGCCACCACACCCAGCTAATTTTTCTATTTTTAGTAGAGATGAGGTTTCACCATGTTGGCCAGGCTGGTTTTGAACTCCTGTCCTCAGGTGATCCACCCACCTTGGCCTCCTGAAGTGCTGGGATTACAGGCGTGTAATGCTCGGCTTGCCTGGCTACTTTTTGTATTTTTAGTAAGATGGGGTTTCATCATGTTGGCCAGGCTGGTCTTGAACGCTGACCTCTAGTGATCCACCTGCCTCAGCCTCCCAAACTGCTGGGATTACAGGCATGAGCCACTGCACCCAGCCAGCCTCTGTACTTTTTAAATGTGGCTGCTGGAAAAGTTAAGGTGACACATCCACATCTGGCATCTGGCATTATGTCCCTAGTGGACGACACTACTCTGGAGCCCCAAACCGTGATGTAATCCGTGAAATGACTGTCTGCTGGCTGCAAAATGACCCTGGAAGCCACGTGGTGGGTGACAGTGGGTTATGACCAAGTAATGCCCCTGGAACAAGCCCCGTGGGACCCAGTGTCCCAGGCCAGCGTGGGTTACTTGGAACCATGCGATAGGTCATATTTTGTGGAGGCCCCTGACTATGCAGGAGGCCAAGGTTTATCCTAATTACTTTGAGCTCAAGAAGTCAAAGTGGCAACCTGGCTGCTTCCACCTGGACTTCCTCCTCTTCCTCCCAAGGCAGTTGTGTGGGCTTGTCCCTTTTCAGGGGTCTGAGGGCAGGAGGGTGGTCTCGGGGAGGAGCCAATACCTGTTCGCCAGTAAGATCACCCTGTTCGTGGCATCGGCCTCCTGCTGACACTTGATTTTCTCAGCCGTTGCTTTTTCAAACGCTGAGGTTAGGTTGCTCAGGTTGGCGTTAAGTTCCTGCAAAACCAAGTTGGAAAGCTGCTGGAAAACCCCACGAGGCATCTGTAGCACGCTGCAGCGGCAGCAGGGCTGGGTCCTGTGAGCATTGAGTGTCTAAGAGGCTCCCATAAAGGCTGAGAGCCCTCTGGAGCATGGAGGCCAAGGACACCAAGCAGCTCCCGGCACCGTCTGGCCCCTGCCTCTGCCTGCATCCTCTCATGCTGCTGAATAATTCACGACGGCGGGCCGTGCCAACCCATTTTAAACAGAGATATTGACCGGCAGCGCAAGCAAGTGGCTCTGGTGTTTCACAGAGACGGGAGCGAGCCGGCACTTACGGCAATCTTGTTTTTGATCCGGGACAGCTTCTCTTGCGCCTCTGCCAGCTCTGCATTAGCCTCCTCCAAGGCCTGCCTCTTGGGCGCCACGTCGCAGTAGACCTCGTAGAAGCGGACGATGTTGATGCACCAGGAGCAGAGGCCGGCGGCGGCCGTGGACTTGGAGCGGATGAACTCGGGGTCGAACGTCGGGTTGCCTTGGTAGGGCCTAGCGAGAGAACACGAGTGGGCTGGAGTCGTCACCCTGTCCTGCTCCGGCAAAATGGGCCCAGAGAGGCTGAGTGTCTTGCCCAGGGTGGCACAGCTCTGGAGGGGCAATGCTGGGATTCACACAGCCAGGCTGGCCCTAGAGGCCATGCCCCACTGGCTCCACTCTGCCACTCCCGTTGCCCCACAGTGGCACTGCCCAGTTTTCCAAGTCGGGCACCAGGAGACTAAAACTATAAGGTTAGAGGGATGAGACGCAGAAGAGATGATGTGGCAGGTGTTATACTTTGGGGGATGGTACAGTGACCAAGAAAAATGCCCATAGGTGCAGCTTAGGCACTGTAGAAACTAGTGTTTTTAAAAATGACACCAACATCATTATATATGAACTGAACTGCCTGCAGAAAGAAATCTGAATGGATAATTCAAAATGTTCATTGAAACGTGATTGAAATTGAGGTTGGGAACAGAGCCCATCATTTTTCGCTCTGGTCTACTTATGCTTTGTGTAGGCTAATATTAAAATGAGCGTGCATCTCCCAGACACACACCACACTGTGTGGGCAGGGAACAGTGCAGAAGCTTGCGGGGTGATAGGAGGAGGCATTTATTGAGGCCTCATTTATAACAGCAAAACAAAAACTGCCTAAATACTCAATGAAGCAGGAAGCGCTAAGTAAATTATGATTTCTCCGTTATGTAAGATCACTACATCAAAAGTTAAGGAAATCATATTTATTGGGTTTTTTTTTTTTTTTTGAGACAGGGTCTCACTCTGTCGCCCAGGCTGGAGTGCAGTGGTGTGAGTCACAGCTCATGGCGCCTTATCCTCCTAGGCTCAAGTGATCCTCCACTTTAGCCTCCTGAATAGCTGGCTATAGGCACATACCACCACGATGGCTAATTTTAAGTTTTTTTTGTCGAGACGGGGTCCTCTTTGTTGCCCAGGCTGGTCTCGAACTCCTGGGCTCAGGCGGTTCTCCTGCTTTGGCCTCTCAAAATGCTGGGATTACAGATTAAAGTGTGGGCCACCGTACCAGCCTTGAAGTGTTTTAGTGTTTTTGTTTTTGAGATGGAGTCTCACTCTGTTGCCCAGGGTGGAGTGCAGTGTGGTGTGATCTGGCTGACTGCAGCTCCACTCCCAGGTTCAAGTGATTCTTATGCCTCAGCCCTCCCGAGTAGCTGGGACTACGGGCGATGCACCACCATGCCCTGGCTAAGAAGTGTTTTTAATAACATAGGGAAAGTGTGTTTTTTTTTTTCTTTCTTGGTATGATAATATTAAGATAAACATGTGGAGCGATTGTAATAAAAAGTGCCTTCTTGAGGCGTGGGAATAGCTTCGTGGCTTAAGCTCTCTGTGACGATGGATTCACCAGAACTCACAGAAGAGAGTTTCTCCACCAAAAGCTTCTGTTCTCTCTTGTTATCAGACGGATAATTTTCCTTAATACGGCCCTTAGAGATCTATGTAATCATAGTAGATACGAGGTGATATATAATGTTCTTTTTCGGATGCGGTATCAATACTCTGTTGTCTGGTTGTGCTCAGGATTGCTTCCACAGATATGGCAGTGTAGGCTCACTACACCTCTGAAGAGTGCCTGTAGCGATCTCACAGATACACCTGCACGCAAAATCCCCTCACGCTGAGTCAGCTGCAGATGTAACTTGTATTGTCGACAGCTGCGGGAGCTAATTATGTCGTATTTTCAACGCATTCAAGCAACGGGCGAGATGATCTCTGTGTCATCAGGAGACATGAGCTTCCTTAACCACTCAGTATTGTCCTCCTCTCGTGGGGGACTAGACTGTCCTGTGTTTACAGCGTGTTGTTATCGAGTGCACGCCGCCCTCAAGTATTTGTTCAACTATTTCATATTAAGAAAAGAAACAAAAAAACCTTAGAAAAAAGACGGAAAAGAAATATATCAAATGTTGATTGACGGTGGCACACCCTGGTGTAGCCCTCCAGGCGCTCTTGTTGGTTTCTCTTATACTTTATTCTATACTTACAAGATGTCGCACAGCAGTCCCACCCTCTTCCTCCCACATGGGAGCTGAGAGGTTTTGGGGTCCTAGCCGGGGTCACTGGGGTCTGGTCCTCTTTCTCAGTCCGGGTCGGGGGCACCCTGAAGTTGGCCTCTTAGGGGATGGCCAGTGAGGAGCCACACGGGGTGGGAGATAGGCTGGGCACTTACAGAGTGGAGCACCCCAAGAATGCCAGCGTGTTGACATTAACGGGGTGAAAGGCGGAGTCCCCATGGCACCCTTCCCAAGTCCCATGGCTCATCCCAGAAGGAGCCAATGCCAGTCCTGCTCCTCCAGATGTAGGACCTTTACAGTCAGGCCAGCAAAAGAAAGATGCATGGCAGAGCCCCAGGCCTGTGGCCACTCGCTGTGCGTGCCTGCGTGCATGTGTGTGCGCACATGTGCATCTGTGTACATGTATATTTTGTGTGTACTGCATTCATGTGTACACATGTTCATATGTGCATGCATGTGCATGCTTGTGTGTACATGTGTATGTGAGCACGTGTGTGCACTTTCTGTGCACTGCATTCATATGTACATACGTGCATGCATGTTTGTACTTATATGTACACGTGTGCGCATGTATGTTTTGTATGCGTGCACTGCATTCACGCGTACATGTGTGCACACGTGTGATTATGTATACATGTGTATGTGTGCACATGTGTGCATTTTTATGTGTGCATGTGTGCATTGCATTTGTGTTCACATGCATTCATGTGTGCAATACATGTGCTCATGTGGTCAGCTGCTCTCACAAGGGCCGACCTCTGTGGGGCCTGGCCGGCCTCTCAGACCTGCGGCCTGAGGGTTCCTGCTGCTGAGCTTGTCAGCTGTGTTCTTGGGGTGCTGTATGGGGAAGGGGCTGCCTAGATTTTGAGCCACAGGCCCCAGGAGCCTGAGGCCATGCCTCACCCTCAGCACCCTGCCTTGGCCTGATGGAGAATCGGAGGGAAGCCCCGGCCGCGAGGCCCAGCCCCGACTCACTTGAAGGCCTTCAGGCAGGCCTCGGGGATGTGCTCCTTGTCGAACTTCTTCAGGGAGTCTAGGAAGGTGTCCACCTTGCCCATCATGATCTTGGCCGCCTTCCAGCTCTTGTCCTTGGGGATCCTGCCCCCAGGGGCGGTCAGAATCATGACGGCAGCGGTGACGTTGACCACGGCGTCCGGGGGGGACCCGAAGGACTTCAGCTCCGTCAGGTTGTTCTGCAAATGACAGACCGGATAGGTCCGACGGGAGTTTGGACTGGGTCCTCGGCGATGCCCCAAGGAAGCCGCCGTGAGCGCGTCACCACCCATGCCAGCAGTGAAGGCCGCTTCCTCTCCGCCCAGGCCAGGGGTCCTCTTTCTTTCCCTCCCCCTTTACCTTATTCAGTGTGTCCAGAGCCTCCTGGGCTGCCAGTAGGGCCGGTTCTGCTTTGGCCAGATCCGTTTCACAGGCCTTTTGCTTCTCGGTGACATTCTGGAAGGAAGATGGACAGGAGAGGTTACTGCAGGTCTGTCCATCTACCTGTGAGGGCATGTACGTGCATGTGTGTATGTGTGTGCATGCATGTGTGTGCATGTGTGTGTATGTGCATGCGTGTATGTGCATATGTGCATGTGTAGGCAGCAGTGGTGAGGGGTGGCCCAGGCCCCAGCAGGTCTGAGCTCCACAAAAGAGGCTGCCCCTCTGGCTACCACTCATTTGCTGCGTTTGCTGACTACACTCCTTTGCCAACATCCCTCTGTGTGTACTTGGCCCCTGTCTGGAGCCCACCATCCTCCCTGCCTCCTGTGCTCTGCCCCACAGCGCTCAGGGCAGAATGAGCAATGCCTTGGCAGTTGGGTGGGATTCTTGAGTTCCAAGATGGGAGGGGAAATCCAGGGGCCACCCAGACCACCCTGACTTTGCAGTCTTATTGTTTCTGGGGCTGTTTCATAATCCACCCAAAATGGAACATCTCAGAGTATATAGCTTACCCCCCCCCACAAGAAAGTAGCAACTCCTTCATCCATGCACATACTCATTCATTCACTCAGGAGACAGTGGGCAATGACTGGAATGCTCTTAAATAATTACCCAGATGTGGGACTGACGACAAAAAAAGCACCCAGGGAGGGGTGATGAGAAGCTACACCAATGATGCTGTGACCTTCAGGCTCCAAAGATGATGAAGACACTCCCCCTAAGCAGTGGTTCTCAACCTCAGCCACCCCCAAAACCAGCAAGGAGCCCACCCGAGGCCAGTAACGTCCTACCTCTGTGGCGGGGGTGTGGGAGTCTGGAGCCGCACATCTGAGGACCAGGCTCCAGCCAGGTCTTCTCAACCCCTCCCATGCTCATGGATCGCAGGCATTTCGTTAACATGCAGGCCCTACTGAGCAGAGCTAAGCTGGGGCCCGAGAGCCTGCATTTCTCACAAGCTCCTGGTGAGGCTGCCACCATGGGCTGGGGGCTGAACATTGAGGAGCTCGGCCACAGGGATGGGAGTTAATTCTAAGGAAAGCCTGCCTCTGAGTGGGGGCCCTCACCTGGGAGAGACTCCTCTTTCGGGGTCCCACTGGTTTAGGAACCTTGTCCTTCTATGTAAGTCTCAGCCTTTCCTATGCCTGTCGGTGGCACCTGACCGCATGGGGATGCTCAGGAGGCTTGGCCAGCGCAGCAGCCCTCCTGAGGCCACACTGGGCTGCCTTCACCTACCTTATTGATGACCTCGACCTTGACTTCTTCCTCGTCAGCAATGGCCTTCTCTTTGCTGACCTTCTCGGTCTCGATGCCGACCACCTGGATCAGTTTATCTGCACTCTCATTCTTCTGCTTGAGCTCAGCCTCCTGAATTGCCAGCTTGGCTTTCAAGTCATCCACCTGGGGAAGGAGAAACCAAGAAACAGCAAGCGTGGGCCGCAGCCAACATACGCCGCCCTGCACTGGGCAGACGAGGGGTGGGAGCCACAGAGGGGCAGAACGTCAGGGCTGTGTCTTACGACTCCCAGTGACTCGGTTTGGAGAGTCTTTTCAGTATCTTAAAAGTAGGTATTGAGCCCTGACTGTGTACACAGGGTCACAAGTATGAGACATTCCTGGTGCTCAAAGGAGTTGGCAAGGTGACTGAAAAGAAAAATATCAGCTGCAGCCCGGGCAACATAGTGAGACCCTGTCTGTATAAATAATAATAAAAAATATAGCCAGGCATGGTGGCCTGCACCTGTGGTCCCAGCTACCTGGGAGGCTGAGGTGGGAGGATCGCTTGAGCCCAGGAAGTGGAGGCTGCAGTGAGCCATGATCGCACCACTGCATTCCAGCTTGGATGACAGAGCGAGACTCTGTCTCAAATGCCAGCTGAGTTGCAGTGCTGAGCAGGGCTGGCCAGGGCCCCTCCAGGCTGCTGGGAGAGTGACAGCGAGAGTTTGTGGGGGGGGGGGCAGGGGTGCGAAAGCTCCCCCGGAAGCAAATGGGAGGCGCCAGTCTGTTCACAACTCCAGCAGGGAGGTGGCAGCTGTTTTCAGGCCCTCTCGCAGGTGTCAGTGGTGGGCAATAAAGACGAAGGACCAGGACTGCATGATGGAGGAGGTCTGAAGCAGGCAGAACCCTTACACATCAATACAGCGTGAAGGAAAGGATCCAGGGAGGTTTTTGAGCCGGGCACCATGGTATGAATGGCACTTACGAATGAACAGATGCATATTTATTGACTGCATTGGGCATGATGATCAAATCTCACCAGACATGGGGCAGGTGCCATCCCCTGTGTAATGTGCCCTCTGTATGATCAACATTGTGAAAGCATTTTGAGCCTGTTTTTTCGTTACGACAAGTATACTAACCCTGGCCTAGGAGTGAATGCTTCTCAAAGGCAGGAGGCTCATCTTACTTTAGGCAGTGCTGAGCCCCGGTGTGACCAGCCCGTAGAAGCCTGTGACAGTAGCGGCTCCTGCGAGGCCTCCGGGGGACGGCACGGGAGCTGGCAGCTGGCCCCCACTCCTACCTGGGAAGCTGTGCTCTGCAGCTTCATCAGGCCGTTCTCCAGCCTCTCGATTTTGGCAACAAGCTCCATTCTCTTCTTGGCCAGCAGGTTCTGGTAGAGTTTGATCTGCTCCAGAAAGGTTTTGGGTGTGGTGTAGTTGTAGCGCCTCTCAGTAGCCAGGTACACCCTGGACATCTCGTTGACTGTGGTGTGCACGTAGGACATGAAGAAGCTGATGGAGGCCTTGACTTCCCGCTACAAAGAGGAGACAGCCAGTCATCCCTGGGAACCCATCCTGCAAATCAGCAAAGTGGAGCTCCCCGGACTCACCAGGAGCCCTGGACAAGGTGCCCCGAGACCAACCTCAGTGTCTTCCACTGCCCAAAGGGGCTCCTGAAAGCAACAGATCCTGGGGCTCTTGTGGGCATTGCACCATGGAAAGGTTTAGCTCAGTGCCCAGGACACAGCAGAGCTTATTATCATTATCTCTGACACACACACGCATACAGGAGTTCGAGACCAACCTGGCCAACATGGTGAAACTCCATCTCTACCAAAAATATAAAAAATTAGCCAGGTATGGGGGTGCACATGCACACACACGCATACACGCACACATGCACATATATATGTGCACACACATTCAGACACCTGCATCTATACACGTGCACACGCATTCACACATCTGCGTCTATACACATGCACATGCATTCACACACCTGCATCTATACACGTGCATTCACACACTTGCATCTATACACGTGCACACGCATTCACATGCCTGTATATATACACGTGCACACGCATTCACACACCTGCATCTATACACGTGCACACGCATTCACACACCTGTATATATACGCGTGCACATTCACAAACCTGCCTACCTGAAAAAGTACAAGGCTGAGAATATGTTTTCATATCCCAGGTAATTCTGCAAATATTTATTGTTCATTACCAAGGCTGGGTCCTGGGATTTAGAACCTCTTTCCCCAGCCCTCTGGGCCTGCCCACCTACCTGAAGGCAGGCACTGGGAGCTTTGCCCCAGAAATTGTCTCAGCAATGTTAATTTTAATTCAGGCCATTTTGAGAAGTAATGAATTAATCCAACACACACATTTCAGGATGCACATATAGTGCTGGTGGTGGGGCCAATGCCTGTTTCTAGGAAGTCTCTGCCTTGGGAACTAGAAACCCAGATCTGTGCTCCAAGGGACACCTCTGAGCTGCAGAGTTACTGGGAGTGGCCAGTCTCATAAATGGAAGCTCTACTGGCAAGCAGGCTCTTTCCCCATCTTTAAAAAACTAGGAAAAAGAGAAGCCAGTTTCAGGTTTATTCTAGCCTACTTAATAACTGCTTATGTGTTCAAAAGAAGAGATGGTAATAAAGGGTGGTTTATTCCAAGGGCTGCTCATGCCCCCTACTGAGTTGGTCAAAAGACAGCCAGGGTTTACGGGTAATTTCCAGGCAAGCACTGAGCTCAAACAATGAACATGGGCACCATCTTTCATTGTTTTTTTGTGTTTTTTTTTGAGATGGAGTCTTGCTCTGTCGCCCAGGCTGGAGTGCAGTGGCACAGTCTCGGCTTACTGAAACTTCCGCCTCCTGGGTTCAAGCGATTCTCCTGCCTTAGCCTCTGGAGTAGCTAGGATTACAGGCACGCACCACCACACCCGGCTAATTTTTTATATTTCTGGTAGAGATGGGGTTTCACCATGTTGGCCAGGTTGGTCTCGAACTCCTGACCTCAAGTGATCCGCCCGCCTTGGCCTCCCAAAGTGCTGGGATTACAGGTGTGAGCCACCGCCCCTGGCCTTGGGCACCATCTTTCAATGAAAATAGACTGCAATGTTGGACCTGTCATTTCCCCTGAGGTGCACGAGGCAATGGCGTGTGCCCTTGTATATACTTATCCCAGCAAATACAGGCTCTCCAGCCAGTGCTCAAGGAAAGGTAGAAAGCCTGAGTGGCCGGATCTGTCCGCACGCTGCGTGTCCTCAGCCCTCCTGAACTGACCCTGGAGCCTTGGCCACACAGGGGCTGATTGGAAACCACCCCTCCCTGGCACAGGACTGCAGGACAATGAAATGAAAAAACCCAACAGCCCACCTTGGTTTACAATTCTGATGGTTTGTTCATCGTGAATTTTTTAGCGCTAATTTTGATTTTCAAAAATATTACATTAAAACCTCACTTATCTTGATGCCTGAGGTTTCTCGCAGCCTCTTAAACATCGAGCCCAAGGTGGACGCCTCACTTGGCTCACCCTAGTCTCAGCGCCCTTCTCTCCCAGGGAGCCAGCCCTTGGACCTGTCCCTTGTCCTCTGGGCTCCGCACTCTGGCAGAAGTGGCCGCAGTGACTCACCGGAATTCCCTCGGTCTCCTCCAGGAAGCGCGCACTGACGGACACCAGGGCATCTTCCGGCCACTCGTGGAACCAGTCGATGGCCGTGCAGTTGACCACAGCTGGGAATTTCCTGGCTCGTACCCGCAGCACGGAGCCCACAGGGGAGAAACACAGGATCACCTGGGTGTGGGAGACAAAGATGCGCTGGCCACTGGGACTGCAGTGCTGGGGCCTAATCCATCACTCTGCAGAAAGCTCTTCCAGAAATCCACGCGCCCTGCCCGGCTCAGCCGCCCAGGGTCTGGGGAGCGCAATCCTAGTTCTGGGTTTGAAGGGCGGCCGCCGCATTGCAGTGGATAAATGCTCATCTGGCTTCGTGCCTCTGGCTAGCAGTCCCGATCCCTCCGGAAGGGGCCCTTGCCTCTCTAAAAAAAGGCCAGGCAAAGGAAGGAATGGGGAGTGGGCACCCACATTGGGCAGATGAGGCCCCAGAACGGGCCAGACTCCAAGTCCTTCAGTTCAGCAGGAAGGGTCCCCGCTGGGCCCTGAGGGAGAGTGGCTAATTCCAAGAAAGGGCAGGGAGTCCCTAGGACCCCAGCTGGAGAAGGTGCTGTGGAGATGGGCCTGGGGGGGCTCTCTGGCTAGATGAGGACCTCCCTTGTCATGGGTCTCAGCCTCCCAGCTGCCCTTGCTCTCTGGTCCCCTTTTGTGGCGTAGGTGTTGCACAGATGCTGCTACTCATGGCGGTGGCTCACTGCCTGGCTGACTTTGCACCTCTCACTGCGTGATGATGTGAGGGTGTGGGACAGACCTGGCACTGGCAGGGCACCAAAGAGGATCCAGGAGCAGGCAGCGCCCATCAGGGGACGCCTTTGGACAGCCCAGGAGAGCTATGGGGTTGGCACCCTGCAAAGGGCAGCACCACTGAACTCTGGAGAGGACGAGGCCAACAGATCCAAGGGGTTCTCTGTCCTACTAGGGGAGTTTAGCCTGCTTACCCTAGAGGCAATGTC